GTATTATTCATGCATATTTTACTAATCACTCCCCCCTCAAATGGAAATATTTGTTTACATAAATGGTGACCAAACCGTTTGAGACCCACAGAGATAATTTAGACTAAGTTAACTATCTAAACACTCAGAGAGTCCTTTACCTCACCTGAGCTGTAGTTATCAGCCTCTCAGTCTGACAGCAGGGGCCTATACTACGAAGCTGGTTCAACCTAACCTGGATATGTTTGAGTTAGCCGGTTGGCCTAATCCAAAACATACGCGCTGTCGCTAAACTGTACTACGACGCTGGTTATCAAGTGGATCGCTCAAGCCAGCCGTTTCCTATCTAGTTAGGTGCGCGTTCACATGAAAGGGGTGGTATCTGGAGCATTCGACCAATCACAAACATGGACAAGCGCACTGACAGCGCAGCGTCATACTTCCTGAATGAAAAGTGAACTTTAATACTAGTCAAATATGAAGAAGTTAATCTTTAAACATCCATGACTTAAACACTTTATCCAGGATAAAAGCCACATAGCTGCACCTGCAAGGTGAATACAGCTGGCAAAAGAAAAAGTGTTTGAATGCGTACATTAACAGGTTTATGATATCACTGCCCCGTCTAAAACACGATCTGACTTTAATTACATTTGTCTCGAGTGTTTCGTCAACTTAATGTGTTGCTTAAAATAATACTTCTGTATACAGTATGTGACACTGTAAGTGTTGCAGGGCCAGATACGGCTCAAGAAGCTGATTCAGATAAGGAGATATATGATAGGCCTACATTATGATGTGATATGAATGATAATGGGACACATTGACGTCTGCACTCAGTGTAGGCCTACTTATGTTGTGGCAGATATTTAAGTAAGCTTTCTTAACGCTAATATTATAATAGTCAGATTGCTCTGAAGATGGGAGGTGATATTCTATTAATGTTCACGTTCACACAGTCGGTGATTTTTGCCGGCCGTCTTTTCTGCAATGGCAGTTTTTCTGTATTTCCTTTCTCCTGTAATATTACTTGATCGCTTTAAACTCCGCACACTGAGCTCTGATTGGTCAGCAGGCGGTGCTTTCACTGAGTTGATCTCTTAGCCTGCAACCTAACCTGGTCCCGACCAGGGGGGTATACTACGAAGCAGGATTTTCGTTTAGCAAGATAACTTCTGGGATTTCCGGTACTACGAAGCTGGTTCACTTTTTAGCGGACTAGATCTCCATGGTGACTTATCCTGGAACCTAGTCTGTGCTCCGAAGCAGGATAGGTTCCAGGATAAGAGATCAACTCAGCGAAAGCACCACACCTGCTGACCAATCAGAGCTCAGTGTGCGGAGGAAATACAGTTTAAACTGCCGTTGCAGGAAAGACGGCCGGCCAAAATCACCGACTGTGTGCACGTGAAAATGAATAGAACATCACCTCCCATCTTCAGAGCAATCTGACTATTATAACTATTATACTATTATGTTAAGAAAGCTTAATTAAATATCTGCCACAACATAAGTAACCGGATTAAAGTAACATTACGTTGCCTACAGTCAGCGGCACTGTGAGTGCAGACGTCGATGTGTCCCATTATCATTCATATCACATCATAATGTATCATATATTTCCTTATCTGAGTCAGCTGAGCCGTATCTGGCTGTGCCACACTCACAGTGTCACATACTGTATGCAGAAGTATTATTTTAAGCAACACATTAAGTTGACGAAACACTCGAGTCAAATGTAATTAAAGTCAGATCGTGTCTTAGACGGGGCAGTGATATCATAAACCTGTTAATGTGTGCATTCAAACACTTTTTCTTTTACCAGCTGTATTCACCTTGCAGGTGCAGCTATGTGGCTTTTATCCTGGATAAAGTGTTTAAGTCATGGATGTTTAAAGTTTAACTTCTTCATATTTGACTAATATTATAGTTGACTTTTCATTCAGGAAGTATGACGCTGCGCTGTCAGTACGCTTCTCCATGTTTGTGATTGGTCGAATGCTCCAGATACCACCCCTTTTATGTGAACGCGCACCTAACTAGATAGGGCACGGCTGGCTTGAGCGAACGAGTTGATAGCCAGCGTTGTAGGACAGTTTAGCGAGAGCGGCTTTGTTTTGGATTAAGTCAACCGGATAACTCAAAACATATCCAGGATATGTTGAACTAGATTCGTAGTATACCCCCCAGGTTAGCCGCTAAGCATAAGTTACCATGGAGATCTAGCCTGCTAAAAAGAGAACCAGCTTCGTAGGACCGGAAAGCCGGAGTTTTCCCTGAATTTAGCCGGCTAAGCGAAAATCCTGCTTCGTAGTATACCCCCCTGAGGACTCTTGTTGTTGAAACAGCTCCTTATTAGCACCAGATGCTAACAACAACAATACACGTAACCGGTGCGCACGCTTTCTCTCTCTCGCTCGCTCGCTCGCTCGCGCCACACATACACACACACACCCTCCCGAGCTTGAATGACACACAGAGACCAATTGACTTTCAGTTACGGGCGCTACTAAAGAGACACGCTACCATGGAAACCAAACAATGGTGTAGCGTTGGTTAAAGTCAGAGTGGAAACAGTCGTGAGTAAATCTGATTTTGTCAGAAATCGGGAGAAATATGACCCCGGGAGGAAACCGGGAGAGGGCAATGAAATCGGGAGTCTCCTGCGGGAGGGTTGGCAAGTATGTTCTGGCAACATAAAAAAATCTAACTTGCAGCTGAAAACGTTTTAAGAATAGTAGGGCATAATGTTCGAACAATGTTATCAAAAACATTTGAAGAAGGTCATCACAAAACATTTTAAGAATGTTTTTAGAGAAAGTTATCCTACCTTTCAGAAGAACATTCTGGGAACCAACAGAAAACTTCCCGCTGAAAACATTCCTAGAACAGTGAATGGTAACATTCTCAGAATGTTTTTAGGACCAAAAACTTCTAGATGGGTAGTCCCAAGTTTTATTTACATAGGATTCATTTATCAAATGATGCTTCAGGTAGTATTATTTTTGACCTATCTGTTATTTTATTTGTATGGTTGTATACATTTTTGTTTAATTTGTTTTGTCACTTTTGCTTTTCTGTTTATAAATGTATTTTATTATTTTAACCTTTAGGTATTCGGGCAACTTCTTATGAGAGACGGGATTCTTATTATTTGTATTCTACCTTACAGTAAGGCAAGGCAAGGCCAGGCAAGTTTATTTATATAGCACTTTTCAACACAAGGCAATTCAAAGTGCTTAATAGTAATACACATACCGAATCTGTTTATAATGACCTTTAGAAACAATGGAATGGAAAATGTGTCTTTTGGCGCATTTCCACTGCAACGGGGTAGCCCCGTTTAAGCGTCCCTAAGCGTCCTCGCTCAGGCCTCGGGCTGCCTCGCTGGCCGTCCGAGGCCGTGGCGCATTTCCATTACAGTTTAGGACCTGGGGTAGCAACGCAGTGTAGGCGGGGCGATCGGCTTTGTTTTTGTTCACATTTCGAGTTGTTCCGTCGAGCTCCCGCTGGATTTGATCATCCCCAATGAGATGTAGGAACGTCGTCACCTCCTCGGTCGACCACGGTGTGCTTATCTTATTAGACGTAGCAATGTTTGTAGCTCATCCGTTTACAAAATGCTGTTTATAAAAATGCTGCAAGCTTGCTTCTAAATATATATGCGACGCTAGGGATGAACTCGCGCACGATCTTGTGACGATTCTCTCTGACCAATCAGCAGTCGAGAGTGTTGACGTCACTAGTTCAGCCCTGGCCCTGGTCTGATAGAACCACGATTTTATGGGGCCGGGAAAAAGTACCCGCTAGCCGGTACTAGGCTATATGGAAAGGCCACCAAAAACTGGCCTGGCCGCTTGAGGACGGTTAAGGACGCTTAAACGGGGCTACCCGCTGCAGTGGAAATGCGCCATAAGAGAGAGAGAGAGTGTGTGTGTGTGTGTGTGTGTGTGTGTGTGTGTGTGTGTGTGTGTGTGTGTGTGTGTGTGTGTGTGTGTGTAATGCTCAATTCAATATCTGTACTCACTTCCCTGCTAATATTATCATTAAGGAAGATAATAAGACTTGTGTGAGTTGACATTCTCCCCGGTCATAATGACCAACTGCATGAGACATAGTAGACGATGAAGAAGGGATGTCATTGTCCCATTGTGAATCATTTGGCTTTAGTTGGTCACGTCTCACTCTCCTTTCCCTGTTACTCAGCGGGGAAATGGAACCTAGATCCTTCTTTTAGTTTCATACCGTGTTTTAGTTTCATCATTACTGAACCAGACTCTTAAACAGTACCTCTGAACTGCAACTTGTTATTGTTGTGACAAAAAACTGGATGTCTTCAGAATGAATAATTTTCTCATCTAGGATAAGACTTTTTTTTAAATGTTTCAAATTAAATTCCAAGCAATTCCTGAATTACCAATTCACTTTCCTGCAGAAATTGTATTGACGTTTAATCAATGTTGACCTTTTTCAACCCCACAGAAATGTGTATTGTGTGCAACCATGCAGCAATGTTCAAACCACAATAGTAGCATTTCAAATTCTAATCAGCATCTTAAAAATGCCAACTTCTTACGATAAAGAGTTAGAATTATTTCTTGGAACATTTAAAATAAAGTGAAGCATAGGGCATCCTCAAGTTTCTACTTGATATAATGGTGCATACATTAATACAGTATTATAGGTTTTAATGGTTCATCGATCAAGCGTTATAAGAAGTCAGTCAAGCATTGAAGCAAGCAGACAAAAATCCGTTTATAATTGTTTTTCAATTTTGACTTTTCTTGCCTGGCATGCACAAAGGTTTCGTATTTATTTTTACTGGGTTTTATAGCTTTCAAGTACCAAAGACTTCAATTGGAGATTTTAGCCATATGTAATATGTGGTCAATGAGCTAAAAGGTGGTCTATCATGAGTAAAATCCACATTGTTCGGCCCTAGTTGCTGTTTGTTACGATGTTATTTTGAATTGGTCACTTTTTGTAATAATCCATGATAAAAATGAAACAATCCACATGTATTTCAGTACAAATATAGTTTTACTAGAAAAGGACTTTATAAAACAGTGATAGTAAAACCTATCTAACACAGTGCCACATTCCATCTAAAATTCCATACAACAAGAATTGAGATACATTACATCTAATTTATCATAAGCATCTTATAAAGCACCTCTACACCAACGGCAAAGCCTTTGGGAGCTATTTGGGGTCCAGCATCTTGCCCTAGGTATTTATAACCTGTTGGAAGCATAGGTTGGGGATTGGACCACTTACCCTTTTGTAAACGACTATTTACCACAACCGCTCCTACAGCCTATATATTGTATATCATCTGCTTATGCAAACAAAACAACTCAGCTTAAAAATCAAAAAAGAACATGGCTCTTAAAATAAAAAATATGCTTTGCCACAGGAATACAAGAGTGAGAAATATTTACAGATATATTTGTAAGGTATGAAAATAAATGCCAAGTTTTCTCTTGATTTGGATTATAAAACTCTAATAGCCCTCTAAAAGTAGAAGCAGAAGTTGGAAACAAGAAGTTGGTCAGTGATATATGAATACAAAATATATAAACATAAGTGATACAAAATATTAGGAACATCCAAATATTAAGCTGCAGCTCTAACTACTGGCTTCAACCTGAATTCACCTTATCAGTGTGGCAGTAAAATAAGGAATGTCCCTAACATGTTGTATATAGTCTTGTGCACAATAAACAGCTTCTGCGGTGTGTTGCTGCTCACAGTTCAAGCAGTGATAGGCATGTTGTCCCTGTAGCAGGCTGGCCTCTGGGGGCCGCTGTAGCTGCACAAGTCCTGGTAGATGCGAGCCATCTGATCACTGGCCAAATTGTCAGACATGTCCAGGTTTGGGTTATTGCAGTAAGGCTGGGAGCGACGCATGTTTACTGCCTCCAGCAGGTGCTGACAGTTTAACACCGTGATCTGCCGTTGGGAGATGAGACAGAAATATGAGTTATTGTTGTCAACATACAGAATTTGCAGAGATTGGTCTTTAGAAGTCTTTGGAAGGTGTCAATACGCCAATGTCTAGATTAAAGAAAATCTTTGTGTTGCCCAATCAGACTATACTTGAGTGAGACACGTTTTATGGCTTGACTGGTCTTACCTGCACAATGATCAGTTTGCTCTTGGCATTGCTGAGATCATGGAGCTCCTCTCCAAAACACAGAGTCACTGTCGGATCAGGAGCAGGAAACTGGCCATCCTGGTACAGCTGTAGAGCTTTAACATTAAAAAGATTGTTTGTTATAAATCTATCAACATTCTGCTTTACTTATTGATACACGTTTTTTGGGTTTTGCATAGATTTATTATTTAAATGACCGGATAATGTAGAGGCTTACCTTGAAGAAACTTTCCTGTATCGAAAATCTTCACTACGGCATCCCTGTCCAGTTTAGAAGGCATGGGGCTGTATTGTGAGCCCACTTCTGCCAGCCCGCTCCAGAAGACCCGGCTCTGGCACAGCCTTTTGATGAAGATGCCCTCTTGGTTGGCACGGACCAGTACCCCTCTCTCCAGGTGGCCCAGGAGCTTACGTGTGCCATGGCGTTGGCGGTCATGCTCTATGAGCTCAGCAGGAGGGAAGTTAACACTCTGCATGCTGTCTGAACTGTAGAGAGCGCCACGTCCCAGGTGCTGTTGTGGGGAGATCCGGCAGCCTTCAGGATGAGTAACTTGTGTCGTGTGCATCAGCTTTCCTCCATAGAAGAAACTGACAATCATCTGGGAAAAAGCTGGAGTAGAAAACATTTCGTTAGCAGGGTAAATGAATAGAGGGCAAGGGCCAAAAGCACAATAAATGCAGCATTTTGAAATCCATTTGTGTTATTATTACTGTTAATGCCTAACTGTAGGTCTGCTGTTATTAATATGCTTTAATGAATGGCAAAAATACCTGAGCTGATATTGCCTGTGGGCAAAAGGTCCTGATGCAGAGGGAAAGCTGTGAAAAACAGGAGGAAGATTTGAGTCAAGGCCCTTATTACCACAGTGGACATGACCACACTGGCATGTCATTCATTTTGCTGCATCATCAGAAATAAAAATTGTCTTGCATGATCTCAAAAACAAATAGGCTCTCAGCCTGTTCAACAGGATGTTAGTCAATATTTCCATTGCAGAGTTTAACAGACAAGCAAATAACCTCTATTTAGCACCCACAAACACAGAGCATGTCATTGTGCTTTCCACTGTGGTTATGTTCAAAGACATTAAGGCGCATTGCATTTAACGACATAAGGGTCTTGCTTGACAGGAAAAAAAAGTGAGAGATATGGCTGTGCACTGCAGCCTACATTACTGCACCACTTACTGAAAAAACTATAGCTTAATTTAGTCAGAGGATTATGTGTTGAATTGTAAAATGTTTACCATTGATGCTGCCTTGGGACCAATATTCTGGACTGGCCTGGATACTACTGGCCTGGCTTTCCTCCTGTAAAAAAAGACAACAATGTTATAAGCCGCTGACAACAAAGCACCTTTGTACACTTCACAGTTGCGTAGACCAAGTTCAGGTCACAGTGGGGAAAACAGAAAAGAAAGTGACACCAAAGTTGAGTGTCAATAAAGGCAAAGTTAATCTGGTTTAATACATGGTTTAATCAGATAGGTAGTCCTATACCTCTTTAATGAGCTCCTCTATCGCTGCAGGGCTGCAGTCCATGTCGGTTATATCACCAGAGCTGGTGGTCCCTGCCATGGTCATCACTGAGCTTTTGCCATCTGGTGAGAGAAGAATACATTAAGACTCTATTTGTTGTACACAAATGGCACTTCTTTTCATGATTCATAATTATTGCAGGAGAATACCAGGAACTTTACCCTGCAACATTTCAAAAGCAGTTCTAATGATAGCCTTAAGGCAAATGTCAGTTAAAAGTAATCAAAACTGGCTTTAAGGACATCAATTGTTCGCAAACTCACTCTTCTGCTCTTCCTCGGGCACAATACGGTAAACTTTATAGGGCTCAGAGATATCCAGCTGCGACCTTTCTGCCACCTCCTCAAAGTCAGGGCTTTTATTCAGAGCACAGCGGAGTCTGGTCTTCCATGTTGCGGGCTCAGCCTTTTCCCCCTCCTTAAACTTGCCTTTAAACACAGCCCAGGCCTGTAGAGGGACAAAATAAATATGACTCATTATTTTGTGTAGGTTGTTTTAGTAAGTTGAATACTTTAATGAAAGAAACAGAAACAGAAAGAAAGCAAGAAAGACAATGTAGTTTAAAATAATGATAAAAGGTATTTATTAGGAATGTAAGATTACATATTAGTGTTACTGTTGGGCTTTGGCTTTGTTAATAATAATTTTAATTTAATAAAAAAAGTTTAGAAATGTTATGTTTAAAATAAACATGCGTGTACAATGAAATGTGAAAGTATAAATAATACTTTAATTTTGTCACAAATAAATTGACTTGAAGAAGTCTAGAAAGATCAATCAAGATGTATTATGAAGTTTTGATTTTACGCGCAGCCTTGTGCGTAAAACCAAAAATCCATCCACAGTTATCTGTCTATGGGACCACATGAGAGTGGAGTCATACCTTGAAAATGGATGCGTCTACTTCTTGGTTGTAGTCCTGTTTCCCTGCGTGTTTCCATGGAATTCGGAACATAGTGCGGCTCTCATCCTCCCACAGCAGTCCCGAGTACTGCCCGCTCTGGATCTGCTCCACCAGCCACTGCTTCAGTCTGCGACCTCCCGTGTTTGACATCATGCTGGAGAAAGGATGTTCTGGAGAGTTCCCTTCAACGAGGAGGACATGTTCATGAAAGTTAGTCAACAAATATAACTATTTACAAAGTCTTATTTGAGTTTAATATGCACATCGTTAAGCAAATTAAAACGTTGACCCTTTGAAATCAAAAGTAAAAAAAGCACTTACAGTTTGATGAGCTGTCAGCCCTGTGTGTTATATCCTGAGATGGTGATGGACGTCTGTCTGTAAAATGTATTATTGTGCTCGGTGTTATGAATGAAATAGCTGGGAGATTATGTGACGCTGACTCACTCCGACCAATGAGTGCGTTGAAGCTTCAGTAGACCAGCCCATTCCGGAAGTCTTTTTCTCCTAACTGCAGGCATTTACAAGAAATGGCCTGACACAAGCCATGGTTGTAAAGTCTCTGCCCACGCTAAAAAGTTACAGCGACGCGGGACGCTGAATAAACCGGGAGAGTCACAAGTTACCTTAAGTGCTGTGGGGGATTTCTGCGATCCAAACCAAAGTAATGCGTCCCTCCAGCGCCCACTCAGTAGGCTACTGAAGAGAAACCTGAAAAGGTTCCTGTGCAGATATTACACAGTAGCCCACTATACCCATCTGTATGATAGTGTGTGAACAAGTTGGTGCGTCCCCTGGCCCTGGGACATATCCCTGTTTCATCATTCCTGGATATAATGGCGGTGGGCTTGAAAGGAAAACACTAAATACGGATAATTTTTTTTATTTTGGGTCAGAGGAGCAATAACAGCACTTAGTAATAAAGCCACATTATATGTATTCTATCATCATCTTCATGGTTATCTAAGGAAAGGCTAATGGCCAAACTTCAAAATTACAATAAAGCATACAAACTTTACAAAGCATACAATAATTTACTCTTAATGGATATTTTCATAGCACCACTGTGAAATCCCCCTGGGTCGGATGTAGTTGATACATTGATAACTATAGACCAAATACATTTTAAACATTGTGTACATACAATAGTATTTTGGAATGTTCAATCAAACATGTTTATGTTTAAGCGTGTCGGATAAGATTAGCTGGTTCTCTTTTTTTTAATAAAATAAATAGATATTTCTGGAGTTTAAAACAGCTCAGGTTTAAGGACAATTTACCTTCATTTTAATTGAGAAAATATTGAGCAGATTCATTGATAATGAAAATAATTGTTAATTATTGTCCTAACTTAAGGCCTTGCTAATAAGATAAAGAGTATTTCTATTATCTTATCATTATTTGATTAAAAAAAACACCAGGAAACAACTCTCATTCATTGTATATGCCTATTATCATATTAGTTGTATTGACAATATTCTTTATAAATTCATAACAACATCACATGGAACAGATCGTACCAGCTGCATTTCCTTGAAGCATTTATTTTTGTTTTATTTACAGTTACTCGGAATGTATGCTTTCGGTTGCGTGAACTTGGAAGTCCTGCCAGGGAAGAGCCTGTGTGAACATACCTACACCTGATCATACCACCTTACTAAATCATATTTACCACAATCATTCTTTTTCAATAGGAAATATCAAAAATATCACAGTTTCAAGGAAACAGATGAGTTTGTATTCCTTGGAAGATTGTTATGAGAGCATGTTGATGTACTTCAGGAAGTGAAAATCTTGAAGAAGCATTTCTGATGGTTTCAGTAGTAGGCTATTGATGTGTCTCTTAAGGTTCAAGGTTCTTTATTTAGTCATACGAACATAGCTACAGTGTAGTTATGCCGATGAAAATCTTGTGTCACAGGCTTCTCCAACAGAGCAACACAAAACACAGATAAACAGAAAATATAGTGCAAGTAAATAGTAATGCAAAAAGAAAAATAGTTTTAAAAAAGAGAAATAGTGTAATAAGAGTCTATGTGCAAGTTATTGAAATGGGATATAGGTAAATAGATACATATTTTTTAAATATGTTTTAAGTAGCAGCCAGAAGAATATTAGGGATGTTGTTTCAACTGTTCAGGTTCAACAGATTTTGCTTCAACAGTTCAGGTGTTTAACAGTCTTATTGCCTGTGGGATGAAACTGTCTCTGAGTCAGGTGGTTTTAGTCCGGATGCTGCGGTAACGCCTGCCAGACGGCAGCAGACAGAACAGTTTGTGGCTGGGGTGATGGGGGTCTTTTATAATCCGGAGGGATTTCTTCCTGAGGCGCCGGGAGTAAAGGTTCTCCATGGATGGCAACTCCGTCCTGGTGAAGTTCTGTGCAGTTTTCACCATCCTCTGTAAAGCCTTACGATTGAGGGCGGTGCAGCTGCCGTACCAGTCCGTGATGCAGCCAGTCAGAATACTCTCTATGGTGCACCTGTAGAACCTCCTCAGCCTGCGGAGGAAGAAGAGTCGCTGTCGAGCTAAGCACACCAAGCTTATGATAGAAAGATAAGTAGTACATGTTGAAGTGTGAACACATATATATTGTGATATTGATTTTGGTAGGCTTTTAGTAAATATTATGAATATAGTTTGACTGAGCCATATAAAGCCATATACACCTTTAAATTACATTCCCAAGTAATCCTGAAATGTGTAATAAATTAAATCAATGTCTATACTGTTTAAAGTTCATGCATAGTTTGATCTTTTCTCTGTTCCTGTGAAGTCTAATTACATTTTAAAGTACATATCTTATTGATAGTTATGCCAACATAATTGTAGTTTGTTTTCATATCTCATGTTTGATACCATTAACTTTTAACAATTAACAAAAAAGTGTGTAAGCCTATATTATTTTTATGACAATTTCAAGTGATTAAAAACACTGTTATTTTCATGAAGCTGCACATTCAGTGTCTTGTGCTGAAGAAAGCTTTAGCAGATGATCTGCTGAGTAAATCCCAGAAACCGACCAAATCTTAAACGCAAACTGAAATAACAGAAAAGCTTTTATTGGTTTTATGGTGTGGTAGTCAAGCAGCTTCATGATACAAGCAGCTAATGTAAAGCTGAGCTAACAATACTAACATCTTAATTATCTGCCCAGGATTTCTTTAAATCACATGACACGTCATAGTGTTGATATTATAGATGTATTTGTATTTCCATTGTTTTTGTCAAGTCACTGCTTTTTATTATAAAACAAACAAAAACTTCATAAATACACAATTAAAACAATTAACTGTAACCATGAATCTGTAACACAAATGACGTATAAATCAGCTTGGTCACAATGAAAAGATAAATCAGAGCTTCAGTAAAATCAGGAAGATGTTATCATTTGGACTGCAGATGTAGTTGAAGTTTTATTCAGAAATACTTTATGTAGCTTCCAAATCAACCTGCTATGTATTAAAGGAACATTTTACCAATCGTTTACCTTGCTTCACATGTTACTCCTAGTCGTGGGCCATTATCTTAAGCACAGTATGGATCAACAGATGCCGCCAGTGGCTTATCTTACATGAGTAGATGGTTGACAAACCACAGAGGGTTTGGCTGTTGTACTTGTTCTCTTTTGTCCTCCCTGATAAGAAAAAACTCAGCAACAGGTTTGTTGGCTGGGTAATGACAGAGCCAACTCAAAGCTTTTCCTCCCTTGCTACCCAGCATTTGTATCATTAGTTTCCACTGTTGCTGCTGGATTCTGTTGCAGACATTGGTTCAGTTGGTAGCTTGACCTTTTATTCAAAAAGTATTACAGTCGGAATGAGTTGAAGAGTATTCAACTGTGTGGAAACAAATACTGTTTTCTACATGGGCAGTGATGTGCTACAGGAATATATTTATTGTTGTCACAACATTTTTAAGTGGCAAGTGTATTTTCTAAAGACATTGTGACTGTATTTTACTAGTATAAGCAATGTAAATGGTGTTCACATATTTGACAGGCAGTCGAACCCACCAAGCAACATCCCTAACTTCAGTGTTGATCAAAGAGTGAGCCTTAACTGCAAAGTGGTATTCATCTTAATAACTCCTCAAAATATTGTGCACAAACAAATTCACAAATTGTTTGTAGATTTGTGGATTTCATTGTCCAACACGCAGTCTAGACATCCGCATTATTGAAGACAAAATGTTCCTTTAAGACTGCAATAATCAGACACTTCTTTAAGGCTTCTGAGCTGAACATTGCAGGTGTGTACTTCATTCATCATGGCTAAGGTGCTGAAGTGTTAAGAGCAAGGCATCAATACTCTGGTTTCGGCTGTACTCAGTTAAGGGAGCAAGGGAGGTTCTGGTGGATTAGAGTCTGTAGCCCAATTCTAAATCAACCTCCATTTATAAAAAAAATTTGAAACAGATGCAAATAAAATATGAAATATATGCTTGGCTTTAAGGGGTATTATTTATTTGTATCCTATGTTTTCAAAGTTGAGGAGATGGTTGATTTGGAATTGAGTACAGAATAATAACTACTGCCATTTACAGGCAGCATTAGCTGGCTTCAGCATGATCGGACGCCCGTTTCTCAGCTGCTGCCTTGTGGATCCTCAGGGTTGGACGGTAGAGCAGAGACACCTTGATTTATCCTGCGGCGGTCTGCTCTTCTGCGCTGGCTCTCCTGTTGCTCCGTGTACTGACTCAGCAGGGCCACCACCTGATCCTGGTCATTAAAAGGACAGGGATCGAAACTAGAGTGCAACCACGATCGGTACTGGGGACAAGAGGACAAAGACAAAGAAGTAAATGTCCACGTGTTAAGATCAAATTACATCTTACAAATACCGAGCTGACAATACAGTTTATGCATATTTGTAGTGGCTTCGACAGGCACAATAAATGTACTCCTCAGCTTACTTCCTCACCTTAATCTACACAAACAACTAAAATATCCAAGGAGATCTTTGACGAGTAGTACCTCATTCAGACATACAGTGTCTTCAAACAGCGAGTCCAATCTGAAATCGCATATATTCTTTGCTTCATGTCTGGCATATTTTCTCATATATTTTCTTTCATAAGCACTGAATTAACCTGATCAGATTTTCATTTCTAAATCAGTTTTCTTAAAAAAAAGACACCAAGATCAAAGTAACTGTATTTCTCTAGTTTTGGTTATTCATGTAACATTACATTAGGCAACACCGTTGCATATCGTTTATACTTAGAGACCTTGCCAGTTTTGTGAGCATGAACTCTGTCCAAAATCCCTTAATACAGTGAACGAAAGGCAAAACAACGTTTATTTGAAATGCGGAACTACTCCCAATATACTACATTTTCATGTTGGCATGTCTTAATCTTGCCAGAAACATATTAGATGACTTCAACCGTAGAGCAAAAACAATTTTATTAAAC